GTTCTTCAGACAGAGGGAAACAATAGAGTAACTCTTGGAACATCAGGAATGAGGGAAGAGCAATAGTAATGTTAAATATCTGTGTAAATACAACAAATTATTCTCTTGAGTTCTTTACAGTATATGATGGTTAAAAGGGAACAAATTTTAAAGTTGTTTGATGGGGTTTCTATGTATAATATTAGATATGATACAAAGGTCAGGGGTTGGCAAACCTTTTCAGTAAAAGAGCAGATAATAAATATTTTTGGCTGGTCTCTTTTACAACTACTCAATTCTGCCACTATAGGGCAAAAGTGGCTAAAAATATATAAAATGAATGTGGCTGTGTTCCAATAAAACTTTATTTATGGACACTGAAATTTGAATTCCATATAATTTTCATGCCTCACAAATATTCTTGTTTTGATTTTTCTTGATTCTTTTTTTTTTTTTTTATTTTGGCATATTATGGGGGTACAGATTTTAAGGTTTCAATAAATGCCCATTTCCCCCCCTTGATTCTTTTTATCAAGAAAAGATCTTTTTATCCTTTATTTTTATCTCCTAAGCCATACTAAAACAGGCAAGGGGCTGTAGTAATTACGACATAAGGAAGGGAGAGTAAAGGGACTTACATGGTGATAAGATTTCTATATTCTACTTGAGATGGTAAAAATATCAATTTTAAGTAGATTGTGAAACGTTAAATAGATATCTTATAATCCCTAGACAATCACTAAAAACTATACAAAGAGATGAAGAGTGAAGGAGGTTAGAGCCTAGAAAATAGGTAGGATGATAATGATGGTCTAATGATGAAGGTAGGTGTAATAAAGAGAAACAGAAGGAAAAAGAAGCAAATTTTTAGAAAAAGATGATTACTCTTTTTTAGACATTTTGAGTTTAATAAACCAGCTTCTGGTGATGTGCAAGTTCAGCAGTTTGAATGATACTGGGGGCAAAAGGTCAAGTGTACAGATCAGTTTTGGGTATTGTTCATACCAGGGAGACAGCTGAAGCCATGAATATATAGGAGAGCACTTGCAAAAGAAGGCTGGAGTAACAGCTTTTGGGAGCTATGATATATAAAGGCTATGGAGAGCAGAAGGGTGGCAGAATCTGCTAATTGCTTCCCCATTTCCTTAGTAAGAGCCCCTGTTTTATGTGGGGAAGCAATGTACCCAGCAAAAAAGCGACATTTCATTGCCTTCCTTGCTTACAGGGTAGCCAATAAGATGTAAGCAGAAGTCTAAGGGTGTGACTTCTGGGAGAGCTCTTGAAAGGGAACACATTCAAATGGGAGGCAGACGTTTTTTTCTCTTTTCCTTCTTTTTCAAGTCTGGAAAGTAAATGGGATGGCTGGAGCTATAGTAGCAAATTTTGCAATAAAGAAGTAACTTTAAGGTGCCCAGAACATTGATTACATTGTGAAGTTACCACACCAGTCTTAGACTAACTACTTAGCTCCAGATTCTCTTATGTTCAATCATCATTATAATTTCATTTTCTGTTCTTAGCAGCCAAATGCAATTCCTAACTGAATGTTTCCTCACCTTTCCCCTATGGTTACACATAGTAAATGAAAAAATATATTGTAGATAAGGCTGCTTTCCTATAGGGAAGGGATCAGGACACAGCTGCTATAGGCCCTGTCTAGAGGCCAATAGGCCTGAACTGACCAATATTTCAGCATCCTAAAACCCACTAGGAATTTCTGATCAAATGCATACAAGGAGGAAGAGAAATTACCACAAAATAAAAGGAATAACCAGTTAGAAAGAAATTAGATTTAGGGAAGTACAATATGACAAAGGCAAGAGAGGAGAGTTTCAAGAATAAAGAAATAATAAAGCTTCTAAAAGCCTAGGAAGGGCCAGATGCAGTGGTGCACACCTATAATCCTAGCACTCTGGGAGGCCAAGGCTGGAGGATCACTTGAGCTGAGGAGTTCGAGACCAGCCTGAGCAAGAGCAAGACCCCGTCTCTACTAAAAATAGAAAAAATTAGCTGGGCGTCGTGGTGCCTGCCTATAGTCTTAGCTACTCAAGAGGCTGATGCAGGAGGATTGCTTCAGCCCAGGAGTTTGAGGCTGCTGTGAGCTAGGTTGATGCCACGGCACTCTAGCCCGGGCAACAAAGAAAGACACTGTCTCAAAAAAAAAAAAAAAAAAAAAAAAAAGGACCTCTTGAGTTCTGACTGAATTATGAATAGCCTAAAAAGAAATGGAATCTGCAGGAATTTCAAAATGCCTCCAAGGCAAGGTTTAAAGCGAGCAACAGGGAGAAAGGAGGAAAGAAAGAAGCAACACTGTAGGACAAGGAGGCAAAGAAACCAGGAATAATTGAGGCCACAACCCCTACAACTGTTCTCAGCAAGGTGGCTCAGTTCTACAGGGACCTCAACATCCTCCCTTCCCCTCAGAAACCAATCAATCACAGCTTCTCTCTAAGCTGTAAGGACTTTTTTATTTGAAGATAGTAGTTTGCTGGGTAAAGAGACAGACAGAAGTACAAGAAGTAAAAAAAAATCTAGAAAGCTGGAAGATTTTTTTTAAGTGTCTGTATGCAGTTCTTATGATTAATTTGAGGACTGACTCAGTACATTAGATCTTATAGATCTCTAGAGAATGATCTTTACAGGAAATCTGTTACCTGAAGATGAAAAGGAATGTGAACCAACTCTGATCCCAATTCAGACCTTCGCCAACTGACAGTTGAGGTGAAGGCCCTCTGGGGTGGCCAGAAAGCAAAGAAAAGTTGAGTATACCACTGCAGAACAATTCTCTTTCCCTTGAGATGAAAGAAAAAAGAAAGAAGAGAGGTACTAAGCCTGGAAACACAATACAGTAAATGGGAGAAAACCTGGTATTCAAAGTAGAACTAAATGTCTTACAGATTTAGATAAATGAGAGTGATCTCAAACCTGGTGAAAGCAGTATTTATTCTGAGTTTCAGAGAAGTGTAGAGTTTTGGAAAGCATTCTGACACAATTCCTAAGCAATATTATAATATCTGTTAGATATACATTAACACAGGCCCACAAATGACAATGACGTGGATGCAAGCATTCATCCTAATTAATTTTCGAGAGCCTACTGTAGGTGCCAGGTGTTAAGTACTGTGGATACAATGGTGAACAAATCAGAGTCCCTAATCTCACAGAATTTCTAAAACAGTGGAAGAGATAGCCATTAATAGAAAATCACACAATTATAAACTGAGTTGCAAACTGTGATGTGAGCTGTGAAATAAAGTATATGGTGCCCTAAGAGTGTGTAACAGGGGAATCTGGTAATAGGCTGCCTGTAAAAACCTGACAAGAGAGCCTTGCACAGCAAATGATTTACAACAACAACAAAATCTGTGTTAACATCCCCCTGGCAGGGAGGGACAAAAGGTATTTTCAGATAAAAAGATATTCACCGTCCTCAGGAGAGTGAAAGGGTTAGCTTCACTCTCTCGAAAAGTTTTTGTTAGGTTCACATGTACAAAAAGCATCTTGCCCTTGGAGAAAAGTCAGCATCATAAAGATGGGCAGAACAAACAGGCAGGAAATCGATGTCTTCTATCTTCAATATATGGAGACAAGAAACTCTGAAGGTTGCTTGGTGGCACAGAAATGAGGTCTGGGTATATTCACCATTCTAACAGACTCTGTGGCTGTTCAGACACTTGGCCATACGCAGATGACATTTTAAAAATTAGATAGCCACTTTGTGATTTCTAGATTATACACTGCATACACATATCCAGAGTCAAACCTCTCTGCTCTATCTTCTCTGCATCAGTTTCCACCACTCAGGCACACAATAAAACCTCATTAGCAATGTTATTCTGAAAGCTGAAGATTGACTACATCCCTAATGCTGAGAAAGCCAAGAACATAGAGTTCTTAACCTGTAACACATCAGCACCTACCGAATGGTGAACTTTAAATAAATACTGAATGACGACAAAATATTTAGGGAAACAGACCAGAATGAAACGCCTGATTTTCTATGGGCAGATTGACAAGATAGCTCTGTGATAATCAGAGATAATTAGCTGTGCTCCTCTGAGCCTCTAAACTCCTCAGAGTGAGGACATTTTGAAATTCTGGTTACTGATGCAGAGACATGATGGGACTCTGAGGCCCAGCCTCTCTCTAACTACACACACTTTGACAAGGACTTTGATTCTTTTTAAAAAGAATGTGCTGAAACCAAATTGCCACCAGATGTTACCAAAAGATCTGAAATACCTAGTTAAGTCCCCTTCCTTTTTTTCAGGTTTATGAACTTCCAAAGCAGAAGAGATTCTGTTCTCAGGGGTAAATGACACAGACAAGAAGTCTGGATGGTAGCCTTGGGCAGCAGTAGCCTACAGTGAGCCAACTGCTTAGTGGATGCTTGAAAATAAGACCATGTAAACATTTCCCTGTTGCCCTGGCCTATAAAATCTGTACTAAGTGACAGACATGAAATGGCGAGGTGGCTGGGCAATGAGGCAACCAGTGGGAAGAAGGAGCTGGCTGCACCTCCAGGTGTTAAAAAAAAAAGGCAAGAGCTGCATATTCAATGAGCCAACATTAAATCAATCTGAGAGTGACTGTTCTCCATTCCCTGGACTCCCTCAGCCTCCCTTTTACTACTTTTTCTCTTCAAGCCTGACCCCAAATTTCATTAATAATCTAAATCTCCCATATAAAATGACAGAAGGAGTAAGGAGAGTATAGAAACAGTTTGAATTACCTGGCCAGCATCTAACCGATGACTGTTAAGTACCAGGGCCAACACTGTTGAATAGCTATGAAGGGGAGATAATTAATCTAAAAAACTGGCATCGGCAATCTCTAGAAGCTGAGAGATTTTGCTAAGAAGTTTGTTAAACCTAAATCCTCTGTGTGGGTTAATCGCCAGCAGGCTGTGGACACTTGAGACTCTTAATAAACACTTGGCAATATTTACAACAGTAAGTCCCTATTGGCTCCTCTGCAGAAGCAGGATGAGAAGGGATGGAAAAGCTACACATCACACTTACCATCTTCTGTTTCCTGCCACACGATGCCTTCGAGGTTGACACTGGTTCCAGGTTCACAAGGGCCCAGGCACTCAGGCTCTGTAGCTAGAGCCACATCACACGTGTTGACCCCGACTGATCGGGTACGAACCATGATCTGCTCACAGGGAGATGAGATGTCATTATTGACCACTGGCACCAAAAGGTGCAGTGGCAGCACCGCTGGTGTGGAGACAGGGGACTCCATCTGTGGGAAAAGAGAAAGTAGTAGCTGAGTTGTAGGGAGAACATTTAGAGGAAACACCTTTTCTGTGTTTAATCTAGTCCTATATCCTTTCCTGTATGAGTGCAGAGGCTCTAAATATAAGACTTTGGTCCTTCCTTTCAAGTTCTAGCTCATGATACCACTACAAATCTAGTGGTTTAGATGAGAGCATCCTGTACTAGGAGAAGCTCTACTTCTTATTAATGATCTTCCTGATAAACTGTGCCTGGCTAAAACTGCTATTTTTTTTTTAAAGAGTTCTATTTTTTCTCATCTCATTTAAAAATCTCTAGTGAAAAAGAATCAGGGCCAGATTGCAATATTATCAGAGCACATAGACTGATGAGAAAGAAAAGGCCCAGCTTCTGAGGCATGTTCTACTGTGTACCACTATGCTTCCTACCAATCTATTAATAGTATCCAATAAATAGTATATTAGTTAGGTATAAAATCCATGAATATGGATGATGATAAAAAGAGGAAGAAATATACAGATCCTAGGAATGCATAATTCTTTTTTTTTGAGACAGAGTCTTGCTTTGTTGCCCAGGCTAGAGTGAGTGCCATGGCGTCAGTCTAGTTCACAGCAATCTCAAACTCCTGGGCTAAAGCAATCCTTCTGCCTCAGCCTCCCGAGTAGCTGGGACTACAGCATGCGCCACCATGCCCAGCTAATTTTTTCTCTATATATTAATTGACCAATTAATTTCTTTCTATTTATAGTAGAGACGGGGGTCTTGCTCTTGCTCAGGCTGGTTTCGAACTCCTGACCTTGAGGGATCCACCCGCCTCGGCATCCCAGAGTGCTAGGATTACAGGCGTGAGCCACCACGCCAGGCCAAAATGCCATGATTCTTAATGATCCTAGGTGCTTTAATAAATCTTCAGTTAGAAGGAAATCTACTTAAAAGTTATAGGAGGGCTGGAAGCAACATTGTGGGGGTTTTTACCCTCAGAGACTATTGCAGTGATTGGTTAATAAGAATGGTATGATTAACACTTGAGTTTATGATAAGAAATAAAAAGAAAAAAAAAAAAGAATGGTATGTTAGAGTATGACTCTAACATCAAATTTATCTGTAAGAAACAGGAGGTACTGTTGCTATCCAGAAGCCAATCCATAGCAGTCTGAAGATGTAGCTGACTATGCACACACAGATAGACATAGTCAAACACCAGAAATCTACCTCCACTAGAACCTCTCACTAGAATGTAATTAGGTTCCAAGAAGAGTGCAACACATCTAGAGACAACATAAACGTAATGAAGCTGGTGATGATACCTTACCTCTTTAAATCCTAGCATTTATTAGGCTGACAAAGTACCAACTTTTAGCCTATAATGCCCAAATCCTAAATGAGCATAATGTCTTGCATACACAAGTGCTCCTGGGCGGCCAGGAGGAAGCTATGCTACTACAAAGGCACTCAGTACACACACTGGCTGGTTTCCTCTGAAGATTAAGTATGATACCAATCAGTAGACCTAGAAAATGAGAGTCAAGGATTGGGACCCTCTTCTCCTTGTGAAAGATTTTTCAGGCCAGTTAAATGTAGTCCTTGAATAGAGACATTCAGAGAAAACCACACATACATCCATAATCTAAGCTGCTTAACAGCTCTGCAATAGAACTCAAGTTCTGGGATAATTTACTACATGACCACCACTCTACCTATAATCTATCTCCCTTCCCCCAACACAAACACACACATATAAGCTTTCTAACCTTGAAAACTAGTCTAGAAGCTGAGTTCTGGGTACTGCATCCATTCTCTACAGCTGGCTCTGACTTCTTGGCTTAGAAAGCCATCATTATTTGCAGATCATGAGAATGCTCATACACTGATTCTGATTAATTTGGGTCCCCGAAGAGCTGCCGAAACATCCTTATTGGCTTATTGACTCACACTCTCACACACACATCCTTATACTTCCCTAACTCTACCTTTATCATAAAATGAAATGGAAGCACAAGCCCTATATAATGAATGTTCTACATTTTTGATAAATGCCAAAAGGCATTTTTGCTCTTTTGAAAATCAGGCATTTATAATTTAATTTGGCAAACTTGGGATGTGACAGATCCTGGAAAGACCCTTTAAAATTTCTATGTATTGATTTGAAGGTAAAAACAACACAGAAAAAGTAAACTGGAACCTCCCTACTATTCCTCTATAGGGCTGGAATCTGGCTCTATTCCTTAAGTTCTTTCAGGAATGCTGTAAGAAACCTTTGAGAGTCATTAGAAACAGGAAATTAGAGAAAGAGTATATAGATCATCTTTACTCTTGGCCTTACCTCTGTTTCTTTGTTCTTTCTCTTAGAGAAGAACTGAGACAGAAGCAATTTCACAGTCAGTGTGTACATTTCCTTTACTTAGTGTCTAGTCCCTTTCTATACTTGCTTCTACTAGCAAGAGAAAGCATTTCAAGGTCCTCTTTCTTGGACACACACATTGGCGTGAACCTTCTAGGTCACTCCTGTGAACTTTCTGATTGCCTTGCTTGTGCATGTCCTATTGCCAATTTGTTTCACAGCTGAGGAAGCAATCCCAGGCACAGAAGGAGATAAGACCCCACTGGGACACCTACACATTCACTCAGTCATCAAGGAAAGCTCTTTTCTGGAAGTGGTTTTATTTCCTGCTAGGTTATTCAGTGCTCCTGGGAGGCCAGGAGGAAGATACGCTACTACATTCTATATAAAGCCAAGCCCCCCCCCCCAATTCTGCACTGAGAAATCCAGAAAATAACACCTAAGATGTAAATTGGAAACACCACTCTTGCAGTAAAACAGTTTGCCAGATTAAATCCTGCTACAGAACATCCGAAGAGAAAAAACTTTAGCTGGGCTGATTACTAAGAATAACAGAACTGGCTCATACATATGAGGAGCCAATTAATATGTATGCACCAAACTACCCTTACTGATCAGTTACTAGGTAGAGTTTAGGATCTCTGTATGAGGATAACTTTATTTAATTAATTAAAAGAAATGTTTAGGGGTGGGGAAAAGTGAAGAAATCCATCTATGGTTTTGGAACTATTCAGTTTCCTTCTACTTCGCAACAGAAATCTAAGGAGAGATCACAGAGCAGCACAATAATGTTTAATTACAGCTCCAGCTCTGCTAATTACCATTTGGTCACATCTATAACCCACATTAAGCCATACTGCATAATAAGCAGCTCTGTGATATTCACCTAATAACCTAGGTGGCTTTACAGGATTTCTTATTCTACTATTCACTGCAACAAACACAGCTTCATTTATCACTCTCTAGGAGAAGATAAAAATCAGAAAAGGACTCATTTTACTATCTTTCTCATGTACTTAGGAGCAAGAATTTTAAGAATTTTAAGAATTTTAATTTTAATTTTAATTTTAAGAATTTTAAGAATTTTAAGAGCAAGAATTTTCAGAAGATTGGTCCCATCAGGGCAAATAAGGAATAGGAATATAAGAAATTTAAGGTCATTAAATGCCTTAATAACTACAACAACAACTAATATTAGGCCAATTCTCAGTCTCTAAAATGCTAAGAAGTGCCACCCATCGCTCCTGGGGCTCAGTTTACTGGAGAGGTAAACAACAGAACAAACACAAAACTTACAAGAGACTTACAGAGGAAATCTCTGGAGTTTCCCAAGAGTTTACCTCCTTTATCTTTTAATGATATTTCTTTTCAATTCACCTTCATATATTAGTTTAATAGCACCTATTAAACTGATCTGAGTGCTTATAGGCAGGTGACAGAAATGGGGATTGCAGAGAAGAATAAAGAAAGGCCAGAGTCACTAATCTCCCCACAGGAAGTAATTATACACTGACTTCAACTGCCTCCTACACTTGAGAGGCATGAATGGAGAAAAATATTCAAGGCTGTAACATAATTTTAGGAGTAGAAAATACTCTAAAGAAATATTTGGGACAAACTTTTGCCTCTTACTTTCATAATCTGAGTCTCATATCTTCACCCCCACAGTCAAAAGGCAGAAAGGAAGTTAGTTCCACTGATAACTGCAATAGTTCTAAGAAACTCCCTTTTCCTGAAGACTGAAAAGATAATTAGGGATAATGGTTAGAAGAATGTTCAGATTTATTTGGAATTATCATATAGATTGTATAGAAAGTAGAATGTCATCAAATACACTAAATACTATATTAATAAGGTGTTATCTTTCTCAATAATCTCAAATGTCCTTCAAGATTTTACAGTGACTCAGCATCAGCAATTCTAATAGTAACATAGGTGCACAGGGCAAAGAGATTAAAAAGACTTAATTACTGATACATGGACAAACACATAAATACCCTCCTCCCCTGCCAAGGTATATAAAGCTTTATTTGCTCACCAAGTATTTATTGCGGGTTATTAAAAATAGCAGGTGATTTAAAAATCCCATTTATCTATTTATTATGTTATTTGTCACTCAACTAAAATACAGAGAAAAAATTCCTCAATTATTTGAACCAATTTCTGCTCACTGGAATTGAGACAAAATAAGTTTATATCATTTTTTTCCAATTAAGGATTATTTTTGCTTATTCTGAAAAATCAGCAATTCCTTGTCACGAGAAACTAATAGTTAGAAATCATGGAATCATCGAGGATGGAGGGAGAAATCTGAATGCCTCCTTTCCACAAATTCTTGTTAGAATGCAACAGAATATCCTGAGTAAATCCCAAAACGACCACAACATTTAACTATTAGTGGAGAAAATCCAGCATCTTTTCAAACACTAAGCACCTTGCTTCCCCCACCTCCTTTTTTTTTTTTTTTTTAAAAAGAGGCTCCTGGTCTGCTGAGCTTCCAGATTTCACTTAGGCTCCTTTGAAAATAATTTGAAAAATAATTTGATTGTAATTCTGGTTAATTTCCAAAACATCTTGTAGCAGAAGGCAACAAGGAAAAAGAGAAAAAGGAAGACACAGTAGGTGGCAACATAACCAGTCTTCAAATAGTTCTTAGAAGCTACATA